CAGTGAAAAAGATGCACCTATGTTAAAAGGCTAGTCACACAGTTAAAAAAAATGCCATTACTTTGGCTGCATGGAAGAGGTAAAAATAACTATAATTCTATCAATGAAGGAGGAAAGTAGCAAGTTTTTATATCATAACATAGGCAAAGTTAGTGATTTCATAACGTAGACACACTGATAATAGATAATTTATTTCTTCTCATTAAATTAAATATGATATCTAGGGTAAGCACCCCCATCTGCTGGTAGCTGAATAATAAGATGTCTGCCTGAAGGAAAGACTCCTCATACATCCTTAGAGTAGTGTGTAAGTTATCAAGAATTTTTCATCAACAGAATATTTGTCTGGAACATTGTGCATGTTGCAAAAAGCCACCATCCATTATCCTAGCTTGTAGGTACCTTATTTCGGTCCTCATAAGGGGGACAAAGCAGGCTTATAGTTAGAAAACCATACAATGATTAAATGGTAAACGAGTTGTTATCACATTGTCTAGAAGAAGAAGGTATTCCAATCTGGAGTGGAAAAGGGAGGCTGCATGAAGGGGGTAGGGTTTTCAAAGACAGAGTGGTATTGTCTATGGCAAGAAGGCACGGGGAAGGCATTGTAGGTGAGGGATGGAGAAAGAGGAACGCCAAAGAGATGATAAAAAGCAAGATACTGGGGGACAGAGAGCAGAAGGGCCTGATTTGTGCAGTCAGTGGGTGGCCAAGGAGTGAAAGTTAGGATTAGAAAAAAGTTTTGGGTAACGATAGCAAGACCCTCGAAGGGCAAGCTGACCTGCTCGGATTCTATCCTGATAGATAGTAAGGCATCACCGAAGGTTCTCCACAAGCAAGGAAGAAAAACAAAAAACTTTGCTAGAGTATAAGAAAGATTATTTTCAGAGAAGTAACAGATTAGAGGTGGAGAGAATCCGTTAGGTTTTAAAAAGTAATCCTCTGTGTACCACCCCTCCCCCCAAGCCCTTGATCTTTCCAAATTCTGGAAATCCTGTTCACGCTTCAGTGCTTTGCTTCAATACCATCTCCTCCATGAAAATTGTCTTCATTCCTCTAGTTAAAAATGAATACTTATTCCTTATTCTGTTTCACAACTTTCTATGATTTTTCTTTCATAGTTTTTATCCATTCATTCATTCATTCAAAAATATGCAATGAGCACAGTCTACTGGGCTCTATGTTAAGTACTAGGAATGCAGAGATGAATACAACACGGTCTCTGTCTTTAAAGCTCACAGTCTAGTTGGGGGCCAGGCACATCAACAGAAAATGGATGCAATATCAGTGCAATGATCTAGATAGGCACTTTTGAAAGCCCATAAGAGAGACACCTAATGCAGCTGGGGGTGGATTCAGGGCAGGCTTCCAAGAGGAAGTGTCTCCTGACTTGTGTTTAAAGACTGAAAAAGATAAGGGAGAAAGTGGGAGTTCTCGGTAGAGACAAGAGTGTGAATCCTGACTTCATTCTTACCATACAGTGGTTATTTTAAATGACTGTCTCTCCCTTACTTAACTAGCCCAATGCTTTGCATGATATCAAATGTCCAAAAGAATGAATAAATGAATAAATGAATGGATGGATGGATTTCTGATGCCTTGACATAAGTAGGTACTTAGGAGGAATTCTTTCTGGAGACACTATGAAGGAAAATAAAAGCTATCTGACATTAGGATGGAAGTCTAGATGTTAGGATGGAAGGTAGGGGCATGATAGGGTAGTGAAAAATGAGATGTTGACCAATTTGAAAGAATTCCAGTGCCATTGATGGAAGAAGTCTAGAGAAAGAGCTGATATGGGAGGAAGAGGGGAGTGTTCTGGGCTAGAAGGAATTGTGGAGAGACTGGATTATCCTCAGAACGGAGTGTGAGCCGGACTCAGGCTTCTCAGGTCTCTGACCTTCATGGGCAACCTCAACGTCTAGGAGACCTTTTCATGAGAAGGAGCCTCAGGCATGTGGTGGACGGTGGTGACCAGGCTCCCAGCTAACTCAAATCCCCGAGCTCAGTACTATACCTTCCTCCTCAAGAGATCGTGCGACATACTTTTGCTAGAATGAGGCAAGGCCGTGTTAACAGTTTTATTTTCTGGGAAATATATGCTATTACTTTGCTCCTTATTTTAAGGTTTCCTTGGACGCATCAGCTTTCAGGAAAACTCTGTAATGAGGTCTAGGCATGTCACATGCACATGGAATGGTATGAAGCCACACCTTCCAAAAGGGATCAGTTGGCCTGTGAGTTGCTTTCTGTACTTGGTTTACATTTTAGATGTGGGCTGATCACCACACTGAGATGCCCGCACTTCCCTTGAAACTGCTGATTTTGCTTTGCTCAAAGGAATGATCTTCTGCCAGCAGGTACAGACTCATTACTTCTGCAGCCAGTGGAAAAAGTAGTTACTCGTGAAACTCAGCGCCAGAGTGACGGTGGAAGCCAGATTGTTATGGCTTAACGAATATTGATTAAAATATGTGGAGAAAAACAAGTGATGGGCCCTCAAAGGGAGAAAGTGTCTTTATGTTCAACAGTCTGCGGGAAGGCAGACTCTTTCTCCCTTTCTGGTATTTTCTTTCTCCAGTTCCAGGATCCTCCTTCATAGTGAGGGCAGAGTCGAGGTAAATGGATCATTTTCATTTTCCTTCCTTAAAAATTATTCTGTTAGCTTTGCTAAAAGAAAAGAAAGCTCGGGAAGTCAAAATTGTCTGGTTTCCAATCCCCAGTTCACTGGAGAGTCAGAAGAGGCAGGAAATGTCTTGGGGACGGAGATTAGACAAGATGTTTTCTAAGAAAACCATGGAGCCTAGGATATATTATATTTTTTATTGTTCCAGATTAGGATTGAGTCTTCAAGTCCTGTTCCACGTAATTTGGGGCCTGTGAAGGTGAAGTCTTGAGATTTTACAGAGGTTTTACCTCTTCTGGTTCCTTTGACCAATAAGTAAGCTTTTGCCAGGATGAGCCTATTGTAATACAATTAAGAATCTTTTTTCTGCAGATTCTCCACTTGATATTAAGAAAAATCATATCCTGTTCAGGCTTCTCTATAATGAAGCTAACAACTAACACCCATGTCATATTTTTCCCTTCACAAATTGCCTTCATATATTTTATCTCATTTAATCCTCAGAACAATTGTATGAGATCAGTTTTTTTGTTTTTTTGTTTTTTTGCGGTACGCAGGCCCCTCACTGCTGTGGCCTCTCCCGTTGCGGAGCACAGGCTCCGGACGCGCAGGCTCAGCGGCCATGGCTCACGAGCCCAGCCACTCCGCGCGCAGCATGTGGGATCTTCCCGGACCGGGGCACGAACCCGTGTCCCCTGCATCGGCAGGTGGACTCTCAACCACTGTGCCACCAGGGAAGCCCTGAGATCAGTTTTAATAATTTTACCCCTATACAGATGAGGAAAAGGAAGCTTCTAGAATGGAGGAGGCTTGACCAAGGTTTCTCCAAGAAGTTGCCTCATGCATCTCATAGGATAGTTTGGGGAGTTTTCATAGTCTGTGAAAGTATTTTGTAAAAATAATTCAAAAAAAAGTTGGCATTCTGTTCTCTCCTGTGTGTAGATTCTGTGCTTTAAAACACTGGCTTACACAGTTCTAAAGCAGTTTCTTAAAGAACAGTTCACATGCATTTGGATCTCATGGGGTTGCATCCTCCACCTCTGAAATCAGAACCTTAATTAATCAGAATATTTATTTTTAACCAGGCCATTTCATATGCAGCAAAGTTTGAGAAACTCTTTGTGTGTATGTGTATGTGTGTGTGTGTGTGTGTGTGTGTGTGTGTGTCTGTGTCATAGTTTCACCTTATAGCTATTGAGAATAGGGTCTCTTATGGTGCTAGCTATCTTCCAGAAAGTATTGGTTATAGATTCTAGGTTTTAGACCAGACTCTAAGTCTGGTTAATTTTGTATTTGAATTAAATAATTTGAATTTTGCAGGCTTCCACTTCCTTAATTGTAAAACTAGAAGCCTAAAATAAAAGATCTCTAAGATACCCAAAGCACTTTGATTTAGCTTCTGTGCTCTTGCCAGGTTTTAGTCTCCCGATTCCTTTCTTTCTCTTCGTGATTCCGAATGTGCTGAAGTCAGTGGTTCTTAAAATGTGGTTCCTGATCTGCAGCATCTCTTTCACCTGGGAACTCATTAGAAAGGCAGATTCCCAGGTACCACTCCAAACCTATTAAATCAGAAACTCGGAGGGTGGGTCAGCAATCTGTGTTTTAATAATCCATCTAGGTGATTCTAACACATGTTGGAGTTTGAAAACCACTGATTTATGCATTTCTGATCCTGGCTAATACATGCAAATATGTAGCAGTACACTGACAACATCTTGTCTTCTTTGACCTATGCACTAACCAAAAATCTACAGCTCTCTATTCTCAGGGAAAGGCAATAAGGAATGTATGATCCCTCTGTTTTTAATACATGACTTCTGAGGGTAAAAACCCGATTTTGCACGTTTCTAAAGTAGCTTCTCTCATACATAGAGATAGAAGTCATATGAAAGTTTGAGAGAGAAATGGTACTTTCAATTACAGGCAGTTTTGCTTTGCATGGTTCCAATGTGCATGAATTTTTGTTACTACAGTTTAGTTAATTAGCACCTCTTCCCCAGCAGCATGGTTCAAATTTGAGTATATTAACTATAAATAATTGCATAAAGTACAAATTAAACTGCTAGCTCCTCAGTCCACAAATCACTCCATAATAGATTTGCTTTCTAATCAGTGACCAATCACATCACTTCCTTCATCCTTTGCCCATCATTGGTCCCTCTGCATCTGTTATTCATTTTATGCCCAGACAGTGAAGCATGGAGTACTGTTGCCTCCTTGTCTCCCAGTATAAACCCAATGACATTTTTCAAAAACAGACAATTTAAAGAAGGAATTGGCCAACAGAAATGAATGTGTAGGCAAGAAATGAGAGGTGATTTAACACTGGAAGTGAAATTCAAATGAAACATAAATGGAGTTAGCGAAGAAATACCTGTAGGTGGGAACGTTGACACTGCTGCCAGTTGAGAGGCTCTGCATTACGCGGCCTAAGACACTTAGTGGAGCCACGCTTGTCTGTATAAATGAGAAAGGGAGACAAAACAAAGAGGATGAAGATGTCCCAAAGGGACTGATGCTGGCAAGAAACTCACTTAATTCTCAAGTATATTTTAAGACGTTGAAAGCATGAAGAATAAAACGTCGGAGGCCAATCCAGACCTAGAAAGGCATATGACAATTGGCCAAGGCATAGAAAAGATGCTCACTCTGTATTGTAATTTACACAGTGAGAAAAAGAAAGCAAGCTGTTCAAAGTAGTCTTGATCAGTATTTTACCAAAAAAACGAAACACTTTAAATCTTAACATTTCTAATGTTGTAAGTTACCATATACTAAGTAAGTATGAGCTTTGCTATATTTCTTTATTTCCCTATACAATTACCTCTGATAGTAAGATATTTTTAATGATTTGGCAAAAGATTTTTGAAGCTCAAGGAACAATCATAACTATTCCCAATGATTATTAAGGTTGCTTTCCATGGTTTCACTTTACGTGACCATTTTTATTGTCTCACACTTCTGTGTAAAGCAGTGACTGCCTGTATATATCTGTCTATATATTACTTCTGAGAAATAACTATATGAGATTATATATTTTGTATTTTTAAAAATAGAGTATAGATGAAAACGTCTACCCATTTATTCACTCATCAAATTTTTTTTTTTTTTTTAACGCGGGCCTCTCACTGCCGTGGCCTCTCCAGCCGCGGAGTGCAGGCTCGGGATGCGCAGGCCCAGCGGCCACGGCTCACCGGCCCAGCCGCTCCACAGCACGTGGGATCCTCCCAGACCGGGGCACGAACCCACGCCCCCTGCATCGTCAGGCGGACTCCCAACCATTGCACCACCAGGGAAGCAGCCCCACTCATCAAATATTTATAGGATGCCCACACACTATACTATACGGCAACACAAGGGTGAAAATGTAGCGGGTACATGCTTTCATTCTTGATGAATGAAGACCGAAATAAGTAGACACAATTTCAGTTAGTGGTAAGTTATGAGGAAAATAAAACAGGGTAGTTAGATGGAGAATGATTGTGTTTGTCAAGGGAAGGAGGGATGGTTTAGGGAGGAGAGTATCAGGAAAGGCCTACTGAGTTTCCACCAAATTCTTTTCTGTTCCCGGGCAGGGATAAAAACAACTGTTAAAATGTTATCTCATACAATTTCAATAACTAAGTCTAAACTTCTTATTCTGTAACTTGAAGTACAATATATTTATGAAAATTCAACAGTTATTAATGTTAAACATACTGTTTTACTTAGTCACGTATGGTCTGTTTAAAAAAAAACAAATAAAAACTCTAATAATAAATTTATGAATAGAACCTTAACTCAAGACTTAAGCATTAAACAATATTTTATGTTTACTGATTACATGTATTTAAATCTGGGATCATATGTTTGAATTCCAAAGTCTGTGGCTGTATCTCAACTGAGAAATGAATATTAAATAGGGTTTAGACAAGGAGAGGGAACCATATGCTAATGTTCATTAAAAAAGTTTCTCAAGCTTTAGTAAATATCTAGCAAAAATAATATTGCTATAGAGAAATTATAAATCCACATGTAAAACATTTTTTATCATCTATCATGTAAGAACTTGGCATCAGTGATAAGCACTATTAATGACAAGAGAAATATTGCCATTATTGCCACATGAATTTTGTAGTTAGCACATGGGCATAAACGAAGACATTGGGTTATCTTCTTAGGTGGTGAAATATGAAACTGTGAACATATATGTATATTCATTTCATTCTTATTCATATATTCATAATATCCAAATAGGAATAAAATATATATGTGTATATATACATGTATATGTGTATATATATGTGTGTGTGTATATATATATATATATATATATATATATGGAGAGAGAGAGGGAGAGAGAGAGAATAGTTTAAAAACTATTTTAAAGCCAAACAACTTCAAGCCATATTTGGTTTAAAGGATTATCTTCTTGCAAAGCAAACATTTCTTTGATTCTTAGTCAAGCTGCGAGCAGGTAGAAGGCGGCCCGAAGCCAGTTTGATAAGTGGTATTCACCTTAGAGTTTGGAGGGGCAGAGAGTGGTGGACGTGGGGCTTCTGTGCTAGTTTTGCTGCGCGTGTGTTATAATTCAGCACCGCCTGGAGCCTGAAAACAATATTGGCAACAGCAGGGGAGGCCTGCCAGCTGTTGGGCCATTTCCTTAACTGTCCATTAGCTTGGATGCTCTGAATGGGACACCTGTGGACACAAAGCACATTGTTGAATGCTCATTACAGAGCCACAGCGCATACAGTTCACCTCAGAGCTGACTTGGAGTCTACAGAAAATCAAGCCAGAAGTTCTAACACAGAGGGTTCCCCCAATCCCAGCTTGCTCTGCGAGATGAATAACCATCACACCCAGACCTCTGAAGAGGAAGAACAAGGTCTCCTGTGGGGCAGGTTGACAATGAGCTGCAGGGCCCGAGAGGCCACAGTGCTGGTTTGTGTAAGGCTACTGCTGTTAGGAATGAAATTCAATTGACAAGCTAATGTCAGAAAATCAAGAGAAAACGGATGATGCAAACTTGGGGAAAACCCCACAATGTTATAAAAGTTTACTTACTTTTCTCTATTCAGTGTCCAGCGTCACATTTTTTTTCTACAGTACTCCTGATTCCTGTCTTAGCTCTCTTTCTCCTATCTAAACACTTCCCAGAAGTTTTTTCCCTTTTTTTAAAATCTCTCCCAGCCATGGCTTTAAGTTGTATATGGAGTAAAAGTGTTCATAATCTTATAATAAATATATATTTATTAATGCAAGGGCCAGGTATTAAACTCTAAGAGGAAAACAGCAGAATAGAATAGTTAGAAAATACAGTTTGCATTTTAAATTGGACACTAAAATGGTCTGCTTTAAAAAGAGATTTTAGACCCCACGTGTGGCTTTTATTTTTTCTATCAGGTGAGTGAGGAGTGAGTGTGAGCATGGGAAAGGGCTGTGTGTGAGTGTGTGGGTGAATTACGATGAAAGGTGAATAGGAAAAGACATGATAAGACTATTTTATTCACCCATGGCATAAAATAATAATAATTAATAATAAAAATAAAATTGAGGATGCTCAGGGGTTGTCGTTTAGATATGAACGCATGTGTTTGTATTTTCCAAGCACATATCAAGCATACGTATATATGTGTGCAAGGGAATTTCAGAGCTAGAAAAAGGGAGGGATTTGTTTTCTGCCTTTTAGAATGTCACGGGAACTCGTCCCTGCGGATTCCTAATTAGTGGACTATGTATCCGGGGGGGCGGGGTATCAAAGAGGGCAGTAGTATTGAGTATCGATTGAAACAGTGACCTAGGCCATCTTAACATTCCCTCTGACCCTTGGATGTCACTTAAACCCTAACCTCAATGTAGAAAAATATAGAGTCAGTGAGTCCTAGCAAAGCTGTGAGAGGCTGGAGACCACGCAGCGGGCGCTGCCCACATCAGCAAGATAACCCAGGCCTTGCACCCAGCCTCCGAGTCCTGAGATCCTGGCAGTTTGTCCTTCTCCTCTTCTGGGCAGGTTTGAATACCCTTTGTGGAGGCCCAGAAACAGTCTGAGATCTCAGTCAGATTCTGATAAAATGGAAAACAAAACCCTACAGGGGAGAAATCCTGAGTTTTCGGTGATTACAGAGGAAGCCGAACAGCCAACATGGAACTATGAGCTCTGTGAGGAGAGCGGCTGTCTCAGCGAAATGACAGAGACGTTTGCTTTCAGTCTCTGGGAGTGCTTTGCTTCAATGTCAAGTTTTAAGGAAATACTCAAAAAAGAACTCTCAGGTTATGGGTATTCAGGTCATGCCGTCTAGAGACTTAAGCTTCCTGAGAGGGAATGGAAGGGAGAAAAAGCTAACCTCTGCAATAGCTAACATTTTTTGAGCCGGGGTCTCTGATAAATCCTTTATGTAAATGACTTCAATTAATCCTTACAATAATTCTATAAAGAATGGAAACTAATGAATCCCATTTTACAGATGAGAACACTGAGGCTGAGAGATGTTAAGTAAATTGTTGTTAAGTAAAGCACAAGGTCTTTGGGTTAGTAGGAGAGATCCGAAAGCTAGTGTGTGTGTTACTCCAGAACTCACATAGCTTAGATATTAGTGGGGGGGACAGATATATAGAGAAATAGATAGGTGGGTAGATAGATAGGGGGATTAGAAGCTTCTCCCTTTAGTAAGGTAAAAGGGAAAGACAATGACACTAGTCACTAAAATGCCAGAGAACAAAGAAACTTGGGTGCTGATGGCGGGGAAGTTAATTCTATGCATTGAGGGCTATGCTTTACTGCTTTCAAATACCTTATTTCACTTGAAGGGTTATTATCCCATTTTGCAGATAAGGAAACCGAGGTCTTAGGAAGGTTAAGCAGATTTCTGAAAGTCATCAGCCAAGTGATTAGCAAAGGCTGGATTTGAACTCTGGTTGTCTGACTCCAAAATCCATGCCGTTTATAAACTCACAGTGAATGAAATGAACGCCCTGAAAGATAAAGGAGAGGAAGCGCTCCACACAGAGATGTCTGTGAATGCTGCTCACTCACGTGTTCATTCAATCAGAGCACACACGTCTGTGAGCCAGGTCTCTGAAATGGAACACAAGGTTAAATGAAACTTAGCGCTTACCATTTGTTCTCTAAAAATTATGTATGATGAGCCCAAAATATAAAATATATGTAACACAAAATATACATTATATTAAAATACATGTAACATATATATGTAACATAAAATATAAGTATAAAATATATTTTTAGGGCTTCCCTGGTGGCGCAGTGGTTAGGAGTCCGCCTGCCGATGCAGGGGACACGGGTTCGTGCCCTGATCCGGGAGGATCCCACGTGCCGCAGAGCAGCTGGGCCCGTGAGCCATGGCCGCTGAGCCTGCGCGTCCAGAGCCTGTGCTCCACAACGGGAGAGGCCACAACAG